CCCCCTTCCCTACACAGCCTGGGCCATCAATGGGACCCCACCTGGGGACCCCCAAGTGTGTACTTTTGTTACACACTCCATCATGGGCTCTTTGTCCGCCAGGCCCTCACCAGCTCCTCCTGCATGTCCCCCACCAATGTCTATCCACACACACAGGACAGGTGCACACTGGGACATACATACAGGGGCACGCACGCAGGAACACATGCATGGACATACATACAGGGACACACAGGCTGCCAGACACCCTCTGGAAGCTCTGTGTCTCTGACCTCATGCCCCTGCTCCCTGTTCAACTTGACAGCAGAGCTGTCCCCATCCATCGTCTTCCCATCTTGCTCCACTGGGACCTCTTACCTGCAACTCTGACCCCCAGACCCACGCCAGCTGCCTTGCCTTCCTACAGCTCAGGGTGGGGTTGGGGGCAGGTCAGTGTGGCTTCTGGATGGCTCCCCTCACCCCTGACTCCCAACCCCCTGCCTAAACAAATCCTTCCAGCTGGTATGTGTGTGCGGAGGGGGGGGGGCAAGGACTAAGGACCAGGAAGAGGCAGAATAGGGCTAAAAGGCCCTGAAGAGTGTTCCTCCCTTGCACCAGGGTCTGGGGTTGGGGGTAGGAGGAGACAGCTCCCTACCTCCATTATGCTGGGCTTCAAAGTCAGCTGGAAACCCAGTTGGCCCTCCAGAAGGTTGGTAGGATGCTTGACAGGAAGAACAGTCAGCCTCCCCCCTCCTACCTTCCCAAGGGCCCCAAGTCCAGACAGTGAGATGCAGACAGAGCAGAGGCCACCCCCCACCAAGGGCCCAGCCCCAGACATGGAGGGGACAGGCTGACAGACACAGGTCAGGTGTAGAGAGGCAGACACACACAGGCATACCCGGACAGCCGGAGACAGAGCAGGAGACCCAGACAAATACTGGCCCATGAGGGGCAGTCAGACCCAGAAAGACACCAAGGGCAAGGGCAGAAGCCTGCACAGACCACTGCAGACAAAAGCAGACAGACCCAGGAGATGCCCCAGGCAACCCCCCCACCATAGGATGGGTAGGAGCTGTGGGTTTCCTCCCACCGCTTCCTTTAGCTGGAAACCTTGCCTTCTTATCCCAGCCTTGAACCTCCAGACCAGGCACCCTCTGATGGTCCTTCCCTTGTCTTGAGTCAACCCTTCTAGGGACTTCCCTCCTTGGTAGGTCAAGGTCAGAGCCCTCAAGGAAGCAAACGAGAGAGGAGGTACAGAAGGAAAAGGGTGTCTTGAGGAGTCCCGCACCGATGTGGCCAATACCTCATGCCTGATGACCCCACATTCTAGCTCAATAGTTATCACAAACAAAGCTTTTGAGGAACCTGGGTGAGTTCTGTTCCAAACTCTCAGAGCCTCACTATCCTCATCGATAAAATGGGTATCCTAATAATAGAGTGATGTACATAAAGCGTTATTATTATAACCCTGCCCTCCCAAACCACCCTTCTTCCCAAGAGTTCCAGGCAGTCTGCTCTTTAGGACTTTGATCTTCAAGGCAGGAGACCCCACAGGTTCCCTTAGAAGAACCTAGATATCCTGAGCCTGGCAAAGGGGAGCCCTCACCTCATCGCCTGAATGGGGCCCTGTTGGCTGGGTTGATGGACGATGGGGGAGCACTCCCTACCCTGAACTCCAGACAGGTGTGGGAATGTGACTGGACCCCTGCGCAGGGGCAAGAGGGTGGCATCTGGGAAAGGGACTTCATGAGGTAAGGGAATTCCACGGGGGGTGAGTGTTTCCGGGGTCTGGCTCCACGGGGTTCCGATCTGGGGACAGGTCCTGTCGCGGCACACCTTATGGGGGTTGGGCTTCAAGGGAGTGGCCCTGGGGACTCCATAGGGACGCGGTCTGTAGGGGTCTAGGCAGGCCGGCTTTAGAGGTGGGTCCTGAGGGGCGGGGCTCGGTGCGGCCTGCGCTCCTAAAGCCAGGAGGGTGCGGAGAAGGGGGTGGATTCTGAGGGCGGGGTCTGGGGGCAGGCCTTAGGAGAACTGGGCTTTTTGAAGATGGGCTTAGAGGGCGGTTTTGTGAAGGGTGAGTTTGGGGGCGGGCTCCATGGGGGTCTATACGGGCAAGCTTTAGGGGATGGGTCCTCAGAACCGGCCACCGGTGGGTGGGCGTTCAGGGGCAGGTTTCAGGGAGCGGCCTGGGTCGGTGGCTTCCGAGGGGCGGGTCTTTGGGGGCAGGCTCTGGGTGGGGATCTCGGGGACCAGGCTTGGCAAGTTGTGCAGGCTCAGTCTGCCTCCGCCAGGGGGCGTTTTGGGGTTCACTTAAGCTCAGCACACTTGGGATCCCTGATCTGCCTTAGGGGTACTCCAGGGGGTTCCTTTAGGGCTCAGTATTCCCCAGGGAAGTGGGAAGGGACTGGAAATTTGAAGGCCTCTCCTCAGGCAATCCCCGAGGGTCCCCAGACCCAGGTGAGGGTGGCCTTTCCTGAGACTGCGTGCGGGGGTACCCTGGGGGACAGGCGCCCAAATCTGCGGGTCCCTGGAGGGAAGGACTGCGGACCCCGTTTTATAGATGAGGGAATAGGGAGGGGCAGCATCTTGGCGTAGTCGGAGTTCGAACAGGGATTTGACCGCCGTCTATTTTGAAGCCCGAGGGTGAGCGACCCTGTAACCCCCACATCAAGACGCAGCCCCCGCGTCGCTGCGTGCATGGGCACTAACCTCAAAAGGGCCTGAATTCAGATGTCGAGACCCTCCAGGCGGCCAGTGGGTGTCCGCTCTAGTCCTCTGGCTTCTCCCCGGTCCTGTGGGCAGGTGGACCCTGGGGCAGGCCTGGCAGTGGCCCCACTGCTGGCCTCGCATTTGCAAAGGGGAACAACCCCCCGGGGTTGTTGTGAATCATAAACAATAGTGCCGGAACGCCGAGACTCACAGAAGGTATTACATTGTATTAAAATGACTTGTTTATCTCTTTGTTGCATCGATGTCCCGGGGGCAACAAGCGCCAGGCAGCCAGACGTCTTGGGGCCACTAGGAATCCCTCCTTTGCCTCTCACTAGCGGTGCCCTTTGGCCTCAGACTCCCAAACTGACAAATAGGAGTAATATGCACCTTCTAGGGACGTTCTGAAGGTGATTTGAGGAAATGTGTCAAGAAGCAAGACGAGCGCCTGGTACTGCTCCGTCTGTGTAGCAAAGGCTACATAAATACCTACAGTTATTATTATTTATATTTATCTTGTGCTTTTTCCAGGTCCTGGAGCAGACAGGTCCTGCTTGCTGACTTACTGAGTCAATAGGTCCCTCCCTCCCTCCTCTCTCCTTACCCACCCTATCGGGGTTTTCTGTCCGCCCCTTCCCCAGTCTTGGCCCCCTGGAGAAGTTGCCAAGGGTTTGGGGGAACATTCAACCTGTCGGTGAGTTTGGGCAGCTCAGGCAAACCATCGACCGTTGAGTGGACCCCGAGGCCTGGAACTGCCATCCATCCATCATGACCCCTACCTTCCAGATCTGGGGGGCCAGGGTAGCTCTTAGAGCCAATCTGAGCACACTTCCTTTAGGCCACAGCGAAGGTCACAATCAACATTCATTGTTGTCGGTGGGTTGTGAGGACGGAGGCCAGACCCACCGAGGGATGAATGTCACTGTGGCTGGGCCGGACACAACCTGAGGGGAATGGGCTAGGGGACAAGACCCACTCATACAATGCCCTGACCTCAGCCTCTCACCCCTTGGAGAGAGCTGGCATCTGGGATCCTGATGTCAGGCCTGACTTGGGGACCAAATCCTTGGGTGTGTGTGGGTGGGGGGAGTTTGGGGGGCAGATCACAGGCTCAGGGCTGGGCACCTGGAAAATCTTTCTGAGGGGGTGGTGAGCCCCGTTCCCAGAGGGTTCAGTAAAGGTTTCTTGAATGAGTGAATGAACGAATGAATGAATGGGGTGGGCAGGCAGCATAACGCCTCTTCTCCATGTCCAACTCCAGGGCCCAGCTTTCTCCCTCTCCTTGCCCAGCACCCACAGACCCCTGCTTTACCCTTGATTGCCTGCCCACTTAGCACCCTGGTGCCCGCTGATGCTTCCATCTGCCAGTCTTTGCCCCACCTGGTAACTCCTGGAGGTCTTATTTAAGGGGATGAGGATTGAGGCACTGGTGAGTGCTAGGGGTCCCCCCCATTAGCCCACCTGTGTCTCTGCTCCCCCCCATAATGTTTTGTCTCACCTCCTGTCCACCCTAGGGCCAGCACCTAACCTTGGGGGCGACAGTAACTAGATGGGGGAGGCAGGCTTTTGTGTTTGTGTTTGTGAGTATGGGCAGGTGGCCTTATACCTCAGTGAGTTCATCCATTAAATGGGGGTTCCACTGAGATAATGGGTGTGAAAGCTCCCTGAAGGAGACCTGAGCTAGGGGCCTCAATCCTTGTCCCTCCCCCTCCCATGAGCCAGGCACCATCCCCCTTCCCCGACAACTGGAGCATCAGTAGCTCCCCTCTTCCGCAAAGAGCCCAGGGGCACCTGGCTCCTCCCCCCAGCCCAAGGGAAGGAAGACAGAAGTTACTAAGTTACTGACTACATCAATGCCTGTCTTTGGGGTGGGGCTTCCACACCCCCCCCCATCACCCTGTGGGGCAGGAGTGGCAGGCCTCACAGGCCTCCTCCAAGGAGGGGTAGGCAGGGGTAGCCCTCCCAGTGCCCTCTGGGGGTGTGTGTCTCCCAATTGCAGGGGGGCCCCCTGCAGCCTGTGTCCTGTCACCCCCCATTGCCCCCCCCCCGCCCACCCAGAGACCATGCATCCCCTGGCAGGTGCATTTATGGGGGAGCAGCAGCAAGCCCCCCTGTGACAGTAAGGAACCTCCCACAGCCTGCTCCTCCCCCTTCTCACCCCCTTGGAGGTATAAGGAGGGAACTGACAGCCCAGACTCCTAGGCTCCAGAGAGGGGAAGGGAGGGGCAGAGAGGAAGGGGTAGAAAGACGACCTTTGGGAACGCAGGGTTTATTCTCTCTCTGCCCCTCTGCCTGGCACACATTGCCCAGCTATGGGAACCTTTGACCTATGGACAGATTACCTGGGTTTGGCACGCCTGGTGGGGGCTCTGCGCGGGGAAGAGGAGCCCGAAACCAGGCTGGACCCCCAGCCACAGCCAGCTCCAGGACCAGGGGCTCAGAGGCCCAGCCCGGAATCACCAGCTCCTGAACGCCTGTGCTCTTTCTGCAAACACAACGGCGAGTCCCGGGCCATTTACCAGTCCCACGTGCTCAAGGATGAGGCGGGCCGAGTGCTGTGTCCCATCCTGCGTGACTACGTTTGCCCCCAGTGCGGTGCCACACGCGACCGTGCCCACACACGCCGTTTCTGCCCGCTCACTGGCCAGGGCTACACCTCTGTCTACAGCTACACCACCCGCAACTCAGCCGGCAAGAAGGTGTCCCGGCCTGACAAGGCAAGGACGCAGGACTCAGGGCATCGCCGAGCAGGAGCAGCCTGTGCAGGTGGCTGGGGGGACCTGGTGTGGAGGGGGCCAACCCTGGGCTTGTGGCTAAGCCCTCGGGGCCTCTGAAGTAGGATTAATGCCAGTGCCCACTTTAGAGGGTTGGGGGTAGATAATCAGTGTAGAAAACTTAGAACAATATTCTAGAAGTGTTGCCCAGTGTGAATAAGCTGGGGCTGGGATTAATTTGTGGCCTTGCGCAGGGGACCTCTCTGGGCCCACGGGGAAGGTGCTCTGTCAGGGAGGCTATGGGGACTTGTGACGGGATCTGTAGTTAGGTATAGCAGGGGCTCCAAATCCTGTTTGGCACTTAGGAGCTGTGCAGCCTGAGAGAAGTTCTCAACCTCTCTAAACCCCAGCTTCCTCATGCTCCTCCTTTGTTCACTCATTTGCCAAATAGCTTGGGTGCCTTTTGTGCCAAGTGCTGAGCTGTACCAGCAGTGGAAAAAGGTAGAAGGGAGAACAGCAGTTAAAACAGTGTGATGAGTGCTGAATGGAGGAGTCCAGAGGAAGCACCTGGTCTAGATGAAGCGGTCCAGGAGGGCTTCCTGGAGGAAGTGACTTCTGGAAGTCTAATTCGGTTTGATGAATGCTAGAAGTGTAGCCCAGGCACTGGGGCTCGTTCAGGAACTTAGTGAAGTTCACTGTATCTGGAACAAAATGTGTGCATGTATGGTAGAGAGGGAGGTGTCAGAGATTCGGGGGCCAGCGGAAGAGCCTATAGGTCCTGGACTTGGGTACTAGGGAACCACGGAAGGGGCAAGACCAGGTCTGCATGTTTGAGTGTGTTAGACCTCGGCTGACTGGTTGGATTCTGAGGACAGATTTTAAGAGTGTTGGAAGGCAGGACACTAGTCCTCCAGGCAGAGGTGTCCATGGCAGGAAGGAGGGAGAGAGGCCTGGCACCCGGGGAAATGTGTTTGGAGAAGAACATCGGGAGTTTGCTGTGTGGATCAGCTCAGGAGGGCAGCTGGGGTGAAAGCTTATGAGATCTTCAGCTGAAGCCTCCCTGAGGTCTGGCTCTCCCCACACTGCTTGGCCTACAACGTGGGGTCACCCTGTCTCATCAAATGTGGATTCCAATTCTTCAGGTCTTCTGCAGGTCTGGGTGGGGCCCCAGGACCTGCATTTCTAACTAGCTCCCAGCCGTGTGGGAAGGCCAGGGAGCAGGGAGGCTGCAGGCTTTGAGTAGCTTCAGCGTCCCTGGCAGTGGTTGTTATAGACGCGAAAGGCCTCAGCTTCTGTGGGGTTTTAAAAAGCAGAAATTGTTTTAGCAACTTTGTCTTTGCAGAAGTCAGCCAACAGGGAGGTGGTCCTGACTGGGCCATACTGCTGCCTTTTTGGGTGCTCTGTGTGGGTACAGCCTCCCCATCAGAGTGTGAGCTCCTTGAGGGAGGTGACTGGGCGGGACGACCCCACCCTCACCCCCGGCAGCTGTGCAGGAAACATTTGATGGAAGAACTGAGTAGATACTAGAAGAACTGAGTAGATACTATTCCCCCAAGAGATTCAATGAGATCCACCTGGGAAAAGGGGGAGCTGAGGGGACATAGAGATGATGGTCTCAGAACCTTCTTTTTTCTCTTAAGTTGGAGAGAACAGGAAAGTTCCCTTCCCCAGGGATGGAGGGTGGGGTGGAGCCCCCCTTAGCACCAGACTGGTAGAAAGTCCAGCTTCCTGTAATGTTCTGGGTATAACAAATCTGGGGTCCCCGGAGCCCTGCGGCCACAAGGGGGCAGCACAGCCAGCCAGAATTAGAGTTTCTGTGCTTTGTGTCCAGCTCTGGGTCCCACCCTGGGCTGGCCAGGCCTGGAGTGTCACAGGGGTGCTATTCTAGGAGCAGCCCCCAGGTGGTGCTAGAGCCCCAAAGCCCTGAAGTTCGAATCCGTACTTTGGGAGCATCGAATCATACCCTATTTTTCTCCTTTTCCCCTCCTTTTAAAATCCAGGTTCCAAAGGTGCTGGGAAGTCTTCTGGACCTTCACCCTCTTCCTGCTGCCCCTCCACTTCTGCCTAGGAGACTGGTGCAGGGAGGACGGAGATGCTGCCTTCCCCTGGGTGTGGGGACCCACGCTCGATGGAGGATGTATTTTCTGGGAAGATGGGACCTGCCCCTCAGCCCTTGCCCCAGCCTGGAGGCCTGGTAAGAGAGCAGGGCCTGAGAGCACAGCTGAAAGAGCCCCCATGAGGAAGGAGGTGGCCCTCAGGCACCCTGGCCCTCCTTCCCCAGCACTGGGCACCCAGTCAGCGCTCAATAAATGCTTACGAATGGATCAGCGTTAATAGCCCAGATCTTGGGATGAGGTAGCGTGAACAGCTCCAGAGGAGCTGGGGCACCTCTTTTCTATCCTGACTGCATCCATCAGCCCCCACATGTCCCCACCTGTTACTTGGATTCTGGTTCATCCTGGAGCATTGGGTGAGCTGCTTTATGCTGAGAAATGGCAGTGGGCAACACGGGGTGACAGTGGGGTTTTGAGGGGTCACCCCAGCACTTCTGAGCACGGCACTCGCTGCCAGGTTAGCACCATGAAGCCATTTCTATGATGTTTGGTATTTTCAAACTCCCTTCCAGCCATCCCTCACACAATGACATGCCAAATGGGTAGAATTCTCCACATTGGAGGTGGGGGCCTGATCTGAGAGGGGAACTGAGAGACAATTAGACCAAGCCCTCCCTCCTCCTTCAAATCATCCTGACCAAGGAGGCCCTCAGTGAATGTTAAGGTCCTCACAGATGCCTCAGCAACAGGGCCATGGAGTCACATGCCAGACTCAGAACAAGGGAAGGACTTGGGGGGGGGGTGCAGGGCTAGGCAAAGAATGGGAATATGTCCTGGGGGGGTGGGCCAGCCAAGACCTTGGGCAGGAGGCACCACGGAAGTGATTTGGCTCTGCTTGGGCAGAAATGGGAGAGAGATGAAGATCCATCACCACCGAGGTAGTGTGACCCAGTTCTCCCGTGCCAGGGCTGTGTTTGTGGGAATCCCTACTCCCAGTCTGCTGCTCTGGCCTCCAGAGGGCAGCAGGTGGCAAGTGTCCGTTAAAATTCTTCACCCAAGCCAAGGGCTGGCCTGGGAACCTGGGCTCCATCCCTAATAGCCCACACTGTCTCCCAGAGTTGGGTGGGAGCAGGATTTGGACTTTGCAGGTCCCCTCTGCCCTTGGCTTTGGACTTGAACTCCAAAGGACCTGAGGCCACCGAAGGAGGAGGGCTGGGGTGAGCTAGGGATGGGAGACAACCCTTGAACACAGCCTGCTGCCCAGGCTTGGAGCAGGGAGGGGAGGAGGAGAAAGAAGACAACAGAGGAGGGCTCCTTAGCAGCTCCAAGAGTTTCAAATTGAGTTAGGGGACACAACATCCCAGCCACCCCCAGCTGTTTGTAAGTGCTGATTGTATAGACCAGAGCTGCTGGGGCTTGAGACCCAGGGAACCAGGAGAATGGACATGTCCTGGCAGGTTCAAGGGAGGAGCTGCACATCCAGCCAGAAGTGGTGAGGGACCTTGACTCCCCTCACTTCCCTCCAGCATGGGGTTTCCCGGGGTCTAAAAAGGCAGTGGGAGGGGAGACCTGCCTTGACCGTAGGAATTGGGACGTGGGAGTCACAGGCCAAAGGACTGATAAAGTCTTGGGTCTGGTCAACCTTTTGGTCACCAATTTAGAAGCACTGTGTTCTATAAAATGGGTTTGGCGGCAGCACCTGCTTATGACAACATCATCAGGGTTGTGTAAGGCTTGGCACTCCCTGTGTCTGTATCAATAACAATCCCCCAGGACTGCCTCCTTCCAGTCTGGGGCCTAGAAGCGGCTTGTGCCTCGGAGGATGGGTAAGGCCATCTGAGCACTGAAAGCAAACCTGCCAACGCTCCAGTTGGGTGATCAGCTATGATGTCTCAGTGGGCTTGCTGCTCCACAGATAGGGGGGTGTCTGTGCTGGAATGTGTACACACACGTGCACACACAGCCACCCATTCCTGGAGACTCGGACACATTCAGTAACTTGTGGGGGGACCCCTTGATTCACAGGGCCCTGCAGTAGCCCAACCTGCCCTCCCAGGGAGGACAGAAGTAAAAGAAGAAAGAGGTGTTGGTGGGTGGAACATTAAGGAACTAAAAATACCTCAAACCCCAAATAGCAGGTCACAGATCCACACTAGGGAATCATTTATTAATGGTCTAACCAGAAAAAATAAAATGGAAATCCGGAGAAAAACAAAGGTACCTCCAGGAAAGAAACAAATTCTGAACCTCCCATAACCTGAGCTAAAGAATGAAATTTGCAAATCCAGATAAACGTCTGGGTGGCTCTGGGCTCTGTTCAGAAGCAGCTGGCTTCCGGAGGGTTGGGGGCACAGCCAGCCTCCTGCTGACTGCCTGTGGCCTCTGCTGTAACTCCGGGGCGGGGGTGGAGCAAGTTCCGTCCCTTACCAACTCCCAAGGGAGGCTGCTGACATGGGCCTGGCCTCTTTTGTTTCCCTTGGGAAGTCGACTTCCGGGTCATCTGAGGGGAGGCTTCTGGGGCCCACTAGGACCTGCTTGAGCATCTTACAGGATAAACCAGGGGGCATACAGGGCCCTGCAGGCTTTCCAGGGTCTGCTGAGGGATTGTTCCCAGCTGTTTGGCAGCAGCACCTCTGGGGGCCAGCGCAGAGCAAACACACGCAGGCGCTGTGAGTTTGTGCACGTGCGTGCACACAAGGTGCTCCTGAGGTGGTCTGGAAGTAATCTACAAATCCCTCCAGGATCCCCGCCCTGGAGGGAGATTCCCAGCCCTCTTTGATGTGTAGGGTGCTGGGGCTTTCCCTGCCAGCCTCGCCTTCCGGTAGCTGAGGCGCTTGAAGGCCTCCAGGTCCCGGTGGGCGCTCATGATCAGCCGGCTGCATGGAAGTTGCAACAGGAGCTGTGTGTGCTCCACCAGACGCCCAAGTGGGGACCACACCTCCCATTCGGGCACAAGTGCCTGCTCACACTCCCACATAAGCTCACACACGTGAACACTCACAGGTCTTGGACACACAGAGGCAGATACAGGCACTGGGCCCTCCCTAACATCCCCCAAGGCACCATCCCTTCTGCCACCCCTTCGGCCCCGTTCATCCGTGGATCCCAGCCCAGTGCTTACTTCAGGTTGGAGAGCTCAACAACAAGACCGCGCACGGTGTCTGTTGCATCCTCCATCCTGGCGGCTTCACAGGCCTTGATCCCTACACAGGTCCTGGCGGGAAAGGAGGGAAGACAGGAGGTCTGATCTCACTGGACACCTCTGCCAAACTCTGTTCTGGGGGCTTTTGGTGGGCCTGGAGCTGTCTTCTCTAGATATTAATACCTTTTCCAGATATGAAGCCACCAGAGACCGAGCGCTGATGGCCAACCCAGCTGGCTCTACCATCAAGAGCACATCCAGAGTCCAGCCTCTTCTCCCCACCACCTCAGTCCTTGTCTGGACAGTTGCCACAGCCTCCCTGACCCCCTGTTCCGGCCCCTACAGCCTGTCCCCCATTCAGCACTGGGGTGGGGTGGGCTGTGAAAATAGAAAGCCAGCCCAGCACCCCTCCCGGAAGCCCCTGCACCATCTGCCAGCACCTCCAGGCCCCCATCCCCCCCTGCCCCTTCCCCCCCTGCTCCAGCCGCACTGAATTCCTGGCTGATCCCTGAGCACTTCTGAGGGCCCTGGAATGTTCTTTCCCCAAAGTCTCCTCCTGGTGGGGGGAGGGAGGCTTCCCTGATCACCACGTTAAAACTTTAACCCCTTCCTCACTGTCTTTTTCTCAACACTCCACCATCTGACTAATTTGCTTGTCTCTCACCCTCCCACCCCCACCAGATGGAAGCTGTGTGTTTTGTCCCACACTGTCTCCCCCGTGCCCAGAGCAGTTCCTGGAAAAGCTGGCACTGGATCGCCTTAGTATCTATGGAAGGGGTAGATGCACCACAGCACCCACTGTATCTAATGCATGCGGCCTGTGGATGTGGGCAGAGGGCTGCCCTCCTGGACTCAGGCCAACAGCTGTTCCTAAATCCTCCTCCACCCCAGCGTGGCAGTGTCTCCTGGGCTGTCACTACAAGGACTCCAGTTCTACTCCACCCGCTTCAGTCACCCTGAGATGGCATGCCGGCCTGGCCTTAGCCTCTGCGTGTCTCACTCAGCCATAGGCCACTGAACCAGACCCATGACCTGCCTGGGGGGCTTCCAGATGTCCGTGTGGGTCACATCAGAGGCCACTGGAGATTCAGACATGAATCTCCCTTCTCTTTGCTTAAACAATAGTAGGGTCACTCTAGCTAAACTGCCCCTGATCCCCACAAGTGCATGCGCGTGTGTGTGACAAGTGGTACAAATGTGTGCATAAGCAGGAGATGGGAACGTGGCCACCCTCAACACTGAGGAGGAGGAGGAGAAAGAGAAAGGAGATACACTCTGCCAAGGGCTGTGTCCCTCACCCCTCCTCCACACCACTTGCCAGACAGAAACAGAAACTTGGC